CGGTGGGATCGGCTCGTGTGTGTCGCTGAATGTGAAGAGCCCGTCGGTGTCGGATGTGGAGATCGGCATGGGCAATACGGTGCAGTGGAAGCTGTGCACGCTGAATCCCAGCTCCACGGTGGCCTATTTCTTTGAGGTAGTCAACCAGCATGCAGCCCCCATTCCGCAGGGCGGTCGTGGCTGCATACAGTTCATTACACAGTACCAGCACCCAAGTGGACAGCGGCGAATCCGAGTCACCACACTGGCTAGAAAGTGAGTGAGGGGTCTTTTGCCCAGAGCCGAATATTAACTAAATGTGACTTCCTTATTTACAGCTGGGCAGATGCCACCTCGAACGTGCACCACATCAGCGCCGGCTTTGACCAGGAGGCTGCCGCCGTGCTGATGGCCCGTATGGTCGTCTACCGCGCGGAGACGGACGAAGGACCAGACATTCTGCGCTGGGTCGATCGTCAGTTGATTCGCCTGGTAAGTGCATATAGAACTTAAGTCTGAAATTAAAGAACAACCTTTAATTGGTTTAAACTTAAGACAGTGGCATACAAATTAGGGAACCTAGTTAAAATAAAGTTTTTTAAATTCTTCCATAGACAAAACATTTTGAGTTTTTTTACACTTAGGAATAGTATTATCGATCTTTCTAATACTTACGTTTGTAGAAACTCTATTGTAATTAGTTTGTGGTTTTATTAAATAGAGTTCAATAAACAAAACCGTAGGAATTTTATCAATAATATCAATTAAAATTTTTATAATCTTTTCTCCCATTTGCAGTGCCAAAAGTTCGGAGAGTACTCAAAGGACGATCCCAACAGCTTCCGGCTGTCGCAGAACTTCAGCCTTTTCCCGCAATTCATGTACCACCTGCGCCGCTCGCAGTTCCTGCAGGTCTTCAACAACTCGCCCGACGAGACCACATTCTACCGACACATGCTGATGCGCGAGGACCTCACCCAATCGCTGATCATGATCCAGCCGATCCTCTACAGCTACTCGTTCAATGGCCCACCAGAGCCGGTCCTCCTCGATACGGCTTCGATCCAGGCGGATCGCATCCTGCTGATGGACACGTTCTTCCAGATCCTGATCTATCACGGCGAGACGATCGCCCAGTGGCGAGCCCTCAAATACCAGGACATGCCCGAGTACGAAAACTTCAAGCAGCTTCTTCAAGCGCCGGTGGACGACGCCCAAGAAATCCTCCAGACACGCTTCCCCATGCCCCGCTACATCGACACGGAGCACGGTGGATCCCAGGCACGCTTCCTGCTCTCCAAGGTCAATCCTTCGCAGACGCACAACAACATGTACGCCTACGGACAGGTGAGTTTCGTAGTCACCGCCGTCGGCTGGCCACATTTGATTGATCTTTGCAGCGCGCTCATTTGCGACATCGAAAACTATATCCTGATCGATATCTCAATCTTGTTTTATGTTGGTTTTGTTTCTTTCATTGTGTAATCCGTACCCGTATCCGTAACCGCTCCTCCGTCATGCGCAGGCGCCTATTGGTCAAGTCACGGTAGTAAACTTTTGTTCAACATTCATCACTTAAGCTGGGATAGGTTGATTTACAGCACAAGAAATTGTAGGGCGGACATAAAATCTTTGGACAGCTTTATATTATTCGGCTCAAAAAGCTATAGTTCAAGTTTTAAAGTTGGTGGATTTTTTAAAATTTTTAAAACTGGATTTAAGTTAGAAATAAATCATAGTCATAATAGCTAAAATTTAACATTTTCAAAACCCTATTCTTCGAAATTGTCCAAAGATTTTGGTTATATGCCTATTTTTTGTGTACTCTTAAGCTTTTGTATAATTTAGCAAATTCTATATTTTACCCATTTTGGTGTTGGACTTTTCTTGGTGTTTGTGCCTCTCGTTCATTTCCCTCCTCCCCTTTGCCACGGTCCCACCCCCACCCATCGTATGACTAATTCTCGGTATTATCTCAACAGGATGGCGGTGCTCCAGTCCTCACGGATGACGTCTCCCTGCAGCTGTTCATGGAGCATCTTAAAAAGCTGGCCGTGTCCACCACCACATAAACCAATTCAGGGTCTGGTTTCAAGCGCTTTCATCCCCGGCTGGCGAAGTTAACGAAGGTGGAGTTGCACGAACTCCAGGAACTTTTGGCCTAGGCAATGCAATTACAGATATACAAACACTTATTCCAATTGATCGTCTGAAAACACAATAAACTATGCAAATTATGTTCAACGATTTATGTGTCGATCCGCTTGGCTTTTATTTGGAAGCAGCTAAACACAAGATTAGAATTTACGTTGACCGGAATGAGTTTGCTACCGACAAAACAAGGTATTAACAAAAAGGAAATAGCGTATCTTTCTTTATAACAACTACTAATACAAGTTAATCCGGAGCGTTCCCGAAACCTTTGAAGATTTTCAATCAAAAATATAATGTGCATAAAAAAGCATTACAGGCTTTATTAGAAAGTATTTTAACCTTTCCAAAGTCTCAAAGAATTTTCGGAATTTATTAAGTCATCACAAAGATTCGTATTTTAGATTCAGATCCCAAACTATTGGATCTTTTTCACTAGACTTCTGTAGCACCTGTGTTCTTTAAATGAAAAGAAATGACATTTTTACATCTTAAAAATACATTAAATTATTTTTGTAACGGCTTTAAGCACTTTGAGACGTTTTTTCATTTTAAAAACAACTGGTTTAATAGCAACTGAATTAATGTTTCAAAATCAACAGAGGTTTAAGTAACCCACCGAAATGCCTCTCGACTGACTCCGTCCTAAACTATTTGGTACACACTGACTAAGAAGCTCGCTCTTTCCTCGTGATCCCTAATTCCACCCTAGTTGAGAAACCGTATGGACATCTTCTGGTCCACGTCGGTGCGGTCCAGAGCTTTGCAGAAGTCCTCAAACGAGATCTTGCCCTGGCAGCACAGATCCGCCTCCAGGATCGTCCGTTCCGCGATGCTCACCAGCTGGTCCTGGCTGATGTTCGCGCCAACCATCATGTGCAGAATGGACAGCAGCTCGTCCCGGCTGATCACACCATCGTCATCCAGGTCGTACATCTTGAAGGCAAACTTCAGCTTCTCCTCGCGGCTGTTCAGCTTGCTCTGCTTGTTATCCCTCAACGGTCGGAAGTGGGCCAACACGTTCATGAACTGCCGGAAGTTCACCCGATCATCGTTGCTCTCGGCAAAGAAGGAGTGCACTATCCGCTCGCACAGCGGGTTGATGGCAAGCTCCGGGATGCGCATCAGATCCTCCCGGGACAGAGTTCCGCAGTCGTTGCGATCCAACGAGGTGAAGCGCGAGTACAGGCGCTCAATTTGGTTGGGAGTAACTGCGCAAAAGTAAATTGAAGATTACTTATTTTGTTAACAAACATTGTTAAAAAATATATCGCCTATTGGAACTCTTTGCCGATAAAGTAACACCTTTTTCTTGGATTGAACTGTATTGCAAATGCAAATATTGATCGATTAAACCAATTTAAGTGTAAAACATTTATATCGAGGTAAGATAACGATTTCAAAAAGACTCAAAGTCAATTTTCAATGTGTGTTTTCCTGATTTGATTTACATTTACTGTGAAAATAATTCCTTGATAGATTTAAAAAATATATTCACTTAAACACGTTCTCAACGATGGTTAAAAAGTTTTTAGGTAGTATTTTAAAGATGGAGAATATCAGCCGCTCTACAATATATTGAGATAAATTTGTTTTGCCATGAAACACCGTCAAACGGAACCCGTTTACGGCGTGCCAACGAGTCCAAGCACATTCCGAATTAGTTGTTATAAAATCTGGCTGATAAGAGCGAACCCCTTATCATTTCGGCTGATACTAGCTGGTCGAACATTGGATACAAGTTCCAATGAGGTGGCAATTTCAATTGCGGGCTTATCGCGCCGGAATATTGAAATTACACGGTCTCGGACACTAGATAATTGCCAGCCAAAACCGTTGATAGGCGCCGACTTTTGCCCCCGCCTTCTGCTTCAATACAGCCAGCGATGACGTCACGAGGAAAGTGCAGGTGCAGTTGAAATGCAAATTGGTTTCTGCTGGAAAAAGTCTGTGCACATACAGCTTACATAAGGCAGACACAGATCGTTCCAATGCAGCTATGCATAATTTCAAAGGAGTTTTTATGAACACGTATAGATTTCGACTCTTTATGGAAATAACGAATCTGATTCACTTGAAGAATCGATGGTGCCATTAGCCATCAGGCAAGAAAGCTTTTAGCACTCCAGTGCGATGTTATTATTTGCTCTGCTCGTGGCGCATTTATTTATATCCTAGTGCGTATTTGTTTCGGAACAGCGGGTTAAATGTCGCGGGGTCCACTGCCCAAGGTTAACATCCAAAATATCGTACTCACAGCCAGTCTCCTCCTGGATTTGCGCGATCTCTTCGTTCCGCAGGAAAAGCGACGATTTATTGCCCATGGTGACCTTGTTTTTGTGCGCCGATCTGATCGATTTGTTTAAACTTTCAACAATCGCAGACGAGCATTGAATGGCATTGGATTTGATCAGAAGTCGGATTTGTGTACAGTCTGATAGCGGGTGGAATAGCGGGAAAACGTCGAAATCCGAGTTGCGAAAAAATACTAAACAGTCTGGCGATAGTTGGTTAGAGATGGACTTTTGTCAAGTCATCCACGGAGTGTGCCAGAAATCTCTTTTGGTTGCTTTCAAATCACCCGTACTTTAAAAGAGTGTTTAAAAAATTAAGAGAAATGTATCATCACAGTCTGGAGTGACCCAGAAATAGCCGAAGGCTTATCCTAGTATTTAAAATTACATTTTTTATCAAAATCGTACAATCTATTTCAAAAACTAAATCTTCTAGTGACCAGATACAGTTAGGAAAAAATTTATTGTTGATAACATTTTAAGACTTTCACTGATAATAGTTCATATCCTGTTTGTTCAATTGATCGAAAGAGTGATGTTATTTTCGTGCCACCACCGACCTGAGTCTGTTATTTCCAATCTCCCATCCCTATTGGCATTGCCGAAAGAAAAACGTAAACATTTGTTTTGCCGGACTGCAATCATAGTTATGGACAAGCTAAATTCGACTCTGACCGCTGTGAAGAACCTGCGATCCAATGTGAGGCAGTGTTTCGAGCACTTGGCTGATGGAACTGATGGTGAGGGCGGCGAGGAGAGCCGGAATAAGTTTGTGCACGACTTCCAGGAGAGATTCGGAGCCATCAATTCGCAGTTGCGGTAAGTAACAGAGAACCATTCGAATGGACCCGGAAATGATATAAAACCACTTGCAGTGAGGTGGAGCAGCTGATAAATGGATTGCAGGTTCCACCCACGCCCTACTCGCTGGGGAACACGGCTTACCTGGCGCAGGAGACTTCCCAGGACCGGCAGGCGTTGTACCCCCAGCTGGTGAACAGCTACAAGTGGATCGACAAGGTGCACGACCACAGCTTCCTGGCCTTCAACAATCTCAACCAGAACACGCTGAGGCGCTCCTACAACTACTGCTCCCAAAAGCGTCAGCGAATGCCCTTCTCCTCCTTCAACAATGATCCTGAGTAAGTGTAGAGCCGAGTTCTCCATAAAAATATAATGTTTGAATCATTTTTCATATATGTAGTTCGATGTTTTGAATTACTTTCACTAATAATTGAAGGAAGTTAATTCAAAAATTTATCACAATATGTGTTGCTTACACTTTTTTATATGTTCTCAATTTTATTTATTTTTCATTTCTAATTTTATTTTAAAACCCAAGTATTTTTGTATTTATTCATGAGTATCAATTAATTTAAAATCACATATGTGTACAATTTCGGCCTGTTCACGTTAAACTCGTAATAAAGGTATTGATTTCGGTCAGTTGTTGACCGATCCTTACCAAACATAACTCATTTTGTTGGTCATTTCATCAACTATTAAACTAAACTAAAAATAAAAAGTACCAATTGCTAGTATTTTTTAACGTAAATTAGGAAACTTTAAATGTGTTCTATATTTTCTGGGTGTTCTTAATTTTGGACGGGGCGAACAAATCCAGTTCTTGCTAAAAGATTATATTTATAAATAACAGTATTTTAAAAGACGAATTACAAGCCTTACATAAATGGTACTGTGTTTGTAAAGCTTCAAAACAGATTTTCGCATGAATAATGACTTTGATCTGCCCAAATACTTTTTTGGGAACTTGTTGGCCAGCTAAAGATAGATAAATGTATCTTAAAAAACCCAAACAATACCTTTAGTTACGACCTTTACGTCAATAAGCCAGAAATTTCGATAAATTTGCGAACATTTTTATTAAAGTACCCGAATATAAAACAATCTTTTATTGACCATTCCTTTCGATATGTCCACATTGAATCACATTATTATCAAGATGTTTTTAATATTAAATACATTTTTCTAAAACTCCAAAATTTGTATTTTAAATTTAAATTTTAAGTTGGCACTTGAGAACTCGAGTGAGAAGCTTCTTTTAAACCTTTTCCATCTCTTTTTTTAACCCTTAGCCACATAGACAAGCTCCTGAGTGAGATCAACACCCCGCCGCACACATCGTACCGGATTTTCCGCCCCTTCGGCACAAACGCTGTCGCCATTGTGACCATCAGCAACGTGATGAAGGCGGCCATAGTGTTCAAGGGAGTGCTTATAGAATGGGTGACTGTGAAGGGATTCGACGAGCCACTGGAGCACGACGATCTGTGGGCAGAGTCCCGCTACGAGGTGTTCCGCAAGGTGCAGGAGCACGCCCACTCTGCCATGCTGCACTTCTTCTCGCCGACTCTCCCCGATTTGGCTGTAAAGAGCTATGTGACATGGTTGAACAGCCACATCAAGCTGTTCCTAGAGCCCTGCAAGCGTTGCGGGAAATTTGTGGTTCATGGATTGCCTCCAACTTGGCGCGACTTGCGCACCCTCGAACCCTTCCACGAGGAGTGTCGCAACTGCTGAAGATTTTAAATATATAACACTGATAGTCGTAACTTGTATACTTCATTTATTTCAAAAAACAAAAATTATATGTACTTTGAATGCATGCGGGCGGATTTTAAAAAATCGCCGCGCTCGACTGAATAACTACAACGGTTTAATGCGTTTTTTAATGGCCAGCCAGGGCAGAAGTCGCCCGCTTCGACTTCTGCACCTGCGTCTGCACACCGCGCTGCAGGCACAGGCGCTCGAAGTTGGCGCGCAGCGTGGCACGGAGCTGCTCCCGCTGGCGCTGCACCTGCTCCCGGTGGCACTTAAAGGCCAGCACAACGTCCTGGGGAATGTAATAGCTCTCCTCGTCTTTGTCGTCGTATTCGTCGAAGTCGTCCTGCAAAGCAATTGAAATTTGTTAGTTTAAACAGTTAAAGCTAATTAACTAAAATTAAAAGCTCTAATAAAGTCCTATTTGCAAAAAAATTGAATCTTATCCTAAACTCTCCTAATATAACCTTAGGGTATAGCGTGTTATTCTTTTTTATATCAGATTTAAATTTTAAAAAACCCCCGCTGAAAAACAGAACGCAGAGCAAGAGATTTCCTAGGAATTGATTTTAAACCCTAGCTCTTGATGTTGATAAGAATCGTCAAAGTAAGTCAAGTCAATTGTCTATTAATTTGTGTCGCTTTCTCTTTTGCCTGTTGTGGGCGGAACTGCCATTTTATTTAAAATAAACTGCCCTGAACAGATCAACTAATTTTTTGATAAATTATTTGAAAAAATAAGACCATCTGAGAAGTTCTGAACCCCTTAATAGATAGTGTAAAAGCAAAAGAAGGCTGAATAATAAATTGATTGACAAGCATAAATTGGATGAAAGAGATTAATTCCGTAATATTCACTCAATTTCTTAAAAAAATGAATGTGTAATCTGATCGTTTTGTTATGCCTTGCCTTGTTATGCGTTCCAATCTCCAGTGGAGATCCTTCATATTAAGTCCTTGCTTATCTCAAACACAACCCCCATTCCCACGACTCACCCACATCTGCAACAATGAAAATTTGTGATCCAGCTGCGACTGATGACCGTAAAACAACAGGTCAGAGACGTAGCTGTTTCGGGCCGCCAAGCCGTCAGAGTCCTCGTCGTGGCCATCGTGATTACACAGCCCGTCCGAGCAAGACACCTCCGATCCTTCTGGCGACGAAACCGCACTGGACGTCCGCGAGTCGACGTGCGAGGTGGGATCGCTACCGTAACCGGAATCGCGCACATCCTGCTCGCACGGGCAGTTTGGCATAGGGGCCAGGCACTCATCGCACTTTTCGCCGGCGTCCGTCTTGGCGACGCTCGACGAGATGCAGCTGGCCACGTCCAGGTGATCGTGATCGTCGTCCAGAGGTTGGATGCTAGCCGAGGGCTGCATCTGTTTCCGGGTACCAGCTTTCTGGGAGGCCGCTGGCTTTTGCTTCTTTTTCTTCGCTTGCTTCTTCGGTTTCGATTTCGTTGGCTTGGACGTGGGCTCGGGTTCCGGCTCCGGTTGAGTTGCCTCTATAACAATGCCATCGTCCGCCCCTGGATCGCTTAGCTCCACATGCTGCTCCTGAGTCTCTTCCTCCTCCAGTTCCAGCTCCTCCTTCTCCAACTCGTCCTCCTCCTCGTCCGACTCGTTGGCCTCAGTATCCTCGCACTGTCGGTGCAGCATGTTCTTCTTCTCGTCCTTCTTCTTCTTCTTCTTAAGCTTCTTCTGCTCGCGCTTGATCTGCTTGGCCCGCTCCGCCCGGCTGATCTCCTGGTAGAGCAGCTCCAGGTTGCTAATTCCCTGCTTCTGCTCCACGAACGTGTCAAAGCTGCGGCAGAGGGCGTGGACACCCACAGCGGCCAGCACCTGGCAGGCGCGCTCCTCCTCCCGCAGACTAACGTAGATGCGACGCAGCCGTTCGTACATAATCATGCCGACACAGGTCAACACCTCCTCCTGGGCGATCTCCAGCGTCTTTGCGTGGCGCTCGCGCAGTTTCGAGTAGCTACCATTAACCTCCGGCTCAGCGCGCTTGATCAGTGCGTCCAGGAACTCTATCTTGTTGGTGCTCACGTGGATGTGCTGGTCGGGCACGCACTTCCGGATATGGGCGTACAGCTGGGCCGCGTAACCCTTCTCCTTGGCAGAAATCTCGCCAATGAGTATTTTGTAGGCCCGCTCAATCTGTCAGAGTATCAGATAAAAAAGATAGTTAATTGATGCGATTGTATAGAATTGTAGATCGAATTGAGTGTTTAAGAATAGTAGGGCAGTCATGCAAACTTTCGTCAAATATCAATACTTGCAAAGAAATTGTAACCACCACTTTAAAGGTAGAGGTAAATAAAAAAGATGAAAAAATAAACAAGATATTTAATCTTGTTATTCTAGGGATCAAATAGGAATAGACAAACGATTCTTTAGATCTACTCGCCTGACAATGTGTTAGTTCTTAAGATACTATTACGTATTATAATAATGAAATTAGCGTGAATGATTAACTACACTGGAACTCAAAACGCAATCAGATAACAATATATTCTTAAAACTTCAATTAATCTTGTGGCTTTGTTTTAAGAGAACTACAGAAGTTGAACTTTTTTTAGTTCAATTTTTTAACTTGCGTCAATGATGTTAAATGAATCACCAACCACTGTTATATTCTTTAAATGGCAAGGATATGGTCTCACTTAATGTTTTCCAAAATAAAATGATCGTTTTAGTAACGCGATAAAATTATTTAGTCCGCAATCACGAGTATTACCTTAAAAACTGATAAATCGTGTGAACTTTATAGTTTATAAGCTGACGTTAGCGTAATAATAAGCTGACAAGAATCGTCTCAGACAGTTGGATAGACCTTAAACATGAATTTGGTTCGCTCATTTCTGTAGCAATCCCTTAAATAATTAAAGATTGCTGTGACACACATCACGCTCGTAGTTGCTTCATTGTCTTGTGCCTCACCTTTGTCCGGCAGCCAGAGCAGAACTTGTGCTTCTTCAGGTAGTTCTCGAGCACGTCGTGGAGTTCCTTGGTCTCGATGATGGTCAGCTCGTTGCGGCAGTTGCTCTTCATGGCGGACCACACCTCGCGCCACGTCTCCGAGAAGGGTTTGGCTCGAAAGGCGTCTAGCGAGTGGAGGACGCAGCGCGTCTTGTTCCGCAGTTTGTTGTCCAGCAGGTTGTTGAGCACCTCGTGATGCCGGTAGAGCAGCGTGCCCAGTGCCTGCGGAGTTTTAAGCTTCTCCTCGACGATGCTCAAGGTGGCTGAGGGGCGCAGCTCCAGGGGATCTAACGTTCGGTGTCCGGACTCGGTCAGTTGGTGGAACAGCCGCTCCACGCGTCTCCGGCATCCGACGCACTGGACACACTGGTTGAGGACCGCCATGAAGCTGGCGCTGTCGATCTCCAGCGACTGCCGGCGCTCGGCCTCTGTGAGCAGTTTGAATTTGCGCGAGAACTCCTCCAGGTCGCGTCCGCGGATCGTCGGGCTGTCGATCACCAGTCCTTTGCTATTCAGGTCCATGAGCATCTGCGGAGGGGGTAGGGGTTTATAATTGTGATAATACATAGATCGAGTATACTAGTCTACAAATAACACAGTCAATCTACCAACTTCTTGTCATGACTTATATAAGAGGGAATAAAGAATCTCTTTGCTCGATCTCTGCCGCAACACGCACAGTGTACAGCGGCTGTCGTCACACACACATCGACAAGCTGTCCCGTGCAAATTACTTACACAAATGAAAGACAAAATGTCATTGTATTCCGTGCCGAACGCTGATCTAATGGGTTGTCCTTGGCCTGGATCACTCTTTACTATTTTCCACAGGAATCAAAACAAAAAACAGCTGTTTGTGCAACGGAATAACGCGAAAACGGGGCTTCTGCCAATGTAAACACCCATTTCTCGTCTATGCGCTTCTATCGGTATCGATAGCAAAAGCGAATAGGTTGGCAACCGATATTAGAGAGTTTCGGGGCAGAGAATCGGAATCACCGAGATCAGCTTAAGAGGGGGTGGCGGGGTGGGCGGTACGCATATATGCACACAAACAGGTTCTTGTTGTTGCACTTTCCAGCAACATGGCGGCTGCAACCAGGGCGGCAGAAGAAGAGGGTTGTGGGTGGCAACTCAGCAGGTGCAGAATCACAGCTCAAGTTCAATTAATAAACGCACAATTACACACCGAGCTGAACCCACACATCGGCAGCCGCCACTTACACATAACACAACCGCCGTGTTATGAAAGTTTTTGGACCAAGTGCACGCACACACGCACAGCGGGGGACTGCGTCTGTGTGGGTTCTGCTGGCAGTCATTTTCTTCGGATGGCGAGGGCCGTACATATAGCGGAAATCGGTGCGGATATATGCTCACCATTAACTTATCGCCAGCCGGCAGGGGCAAATTCCTGCGGCCAACGTAACCGGAGTCGTCGTCGTCCGTGTTGTAGACCTTTGTGAGTCTCGCCATTATGGGTATTCGACTTCGAGAGCCAGCGACAAGGCAAGGCAAGGCGAAATTTCAGGCACTTTGCGACACACACACTTTTCTCCAGTGTCCGGGCGTGGGAAACGGTGATCGACGGGAATATGGCAGCAGTGCACGGATCACAAAAATGTGTTGACAACTATCTCCACTCTCCTGAAAATTCGAGTGGCTCGGGGAACGCTCGAGAATCGGCTACGAAAGTATTTTCTATGTCAAACACGTAGTAGGCAAGTCGGTCCGGTCGCCATTAAAACGGAGCAGGGTTGCCAGCGCATTCCAAAGGTGACGGGGTGTATCGATGTGGAAACTATCGATAGTGCACACTATTTGTATTTGCTAAATATGCTAGGGGTATTCCTGAACTTCTTAAGTAGGGGTTCTTTGAAACATAGCCAGTTCGAAAACTTATACCATATGCCGCAAAGTCGCTTAAAATTGCAACAGCGACAAAGTTTTTTACATAGACTTCCGCCGTTGCGAAATAAGCTGAAACGGTGAAGAAGAAAAACAACAACTTTTTTTCAATTGCAAAATAATTAATTTCTAAGTGTATCAGGCTCTTATTTCGTTTGAGCGAACAAATGTACTTCTTATGGAAGAAAATAGCTGTTGCGTTGAAAAGGGGACAGGCAATATTTTTGAAAAGAAAGATTAAACATATTCTAGGAATTCTTTAAACTGTTGATTTAAATTAAGGTAAAAGAAACTACAAATATACTTTCAAATTTGATTTATAAGTATATAATTAGGGCTACTCGTGGCTGTTTAATTGCTAAAAATTTAAAGTTTTCTTACGCAGTATTCAGTTCGTCGAAAAAATACCAGAAAATTACATGGCTTTACAGGATGGAAATAAATGGATTTAACTCCGGAAATTAGTTTAAGTATGCTGGAGCGGCGTAAACATAATATAAATAATATATTGAATATTGTAAAATTTTTTAAGAAAATGGTTACTCTACTAGAAGGGTATACACACAAAGTCTGTTGAGAAAATTCTGAACAAATTGAGACAAAACAAACAAATATTGAATATTAAAAAAATGCCTTGTTGGCATAAGTAATATTAATAATCGAATTATTTTCAGGAACCCCCTTAACCTTTTTAAGGAGTCGATAACGTTGCGTACCCATTTATCGCTGTTGGCACACGCTGGTGTCCGCGTTTCGCCGTGAACTGCATATATTCGCGTTGTTCGGCAAAAGTTACTAATAATTTTCAACGCGCCTAATTTCAGAAAAGTAAAAATTAATCATAGACTTAGAATTTTACCACCCTTCATCAAGCCAATGCCCGCGCTCTAGGACAGCGAGTAAGTAGGGCTTTAAGTGGGTAGAGAGCGGCCAACTAATTCACATTACGCCTGTATCTGTGTGTGTCTGTGTGCGAGCGAAGAAAATTCATTTCAGCCAAGCGGAAAAGGCACAGGCAAAACAGCCACCAACCATGGACGTGTCCCAGCCACCGCCGCAGCTCCTCACCGCGCCATCGGCGCTGGCCACCAACTTCACATCGCTCCCGCCGCCGAACATGGGCGGCCAGCACTACCGGCACTACCATCCCCACCACGGGTCCAACAAACACTACAACCAGTTTAAGCCCTTCATGCCCGGTGGCTTCCAGCGACCCTTCGGGATGTCCCAGGACGACTTCGACGGCAAGCGGTTGCGCAAGAGTGTGATGAGGAAGACTGTCGACTACAACGCGTCCATCATCAAGGCGCTCGAGGTGATTACCTACTGAACGGGAGGAAAGAGGCTTACCATAGCCAAGGGATTCCGAGTTTTGTAGTTAAGGTCCATTAGGAAATTTATGTGCAAGGCACCAAAAGTGGTTTCGTAGGTTAGAAACGGTGATGTAAAACTGGAGTTTTACTTAAACCAGCGGTTGGCCGCCTACCATAAATCAGGCATATGAAATACTGTGTGCCGACCGCTGACTTCAACTAACAGATTGCGATATTTGAATAGGCGTCAGAGCTGATTTCTTAGGATTTCAGAAACAAAACAAAGCTAAGATATTCAGAGTTGTCCAGAGTCCCAACATAGGAATTACTAGAGGTTTATTAAGAAATGTAAGATCACTGCAGATAGATCTCAAAATGTAGGAACATACATTGCGCCCATCAGGTCATTTAGTCCGGCGCGTAGCAACGCAATTAGAGTTCTTAAAAACTACATTTTTTAAACCTATGGAGTGTGTAATTAAAAAATATTCCATCCAATTTGGTTTAAAATGGTACATTTTTAAAATCAATAGTTTTCTAAAAGTCCGCTAAAAATGCAATTTTGGTTTTATTTTCATCAGTGAATTTTAAGATACATTATAACTTGGGTTCATAAGTTTCGGATAAATCTGTGACCATTTGTGATAACTACCAGTTGGGTATGTAAGGAAATCACCAATCATTAATCAAGAAATAGTTCCACTCTTGTATTGACCATGTCGACTTTAAGGGGCTACATACTGTTTTTGGCTCAGATACAAGCACTTTTTCTTCTTTTTTTTAAAATATATTAAATGATATTTTAAGCTTACATGACTTGGTACATTTTACTGAGACCATTTTTTCAGAGACTAAAAAGAAAGTGGACAATTTTTGTATGTTAGTGTATCCCAAAATCTAAATCGATTTGAATTTTCGGCACTACGGAAAAAAAAGTTTGAATAAAATGTTTGAGTTCTTTAATTTTTTAAAATTAGTAAATATTAATATGTTTCAAAATCCTTCGTTCGACCAGTAGCTTTTAAGATGCTGACTGTGTGAAAACTGAAAAAAAATTGCCCTCCGGCTTCGAAGTCGTAATTTCTAGAAAAACGCGGTTAAAATGAGACACGTCTCGCTAAACGATCTAAAAACCAAATGTAACTTTTAAGGACTATCTCCTAAATCCGACAACTTAAATTATTTGAAAACAAATTTTTCTCTTTTCAAACCCCGTCCTAGCCCCTTGAAGTCTCTTTTAATTTTAAATAATTATTTCAACAGCAACCGATAAATTACATGAAATTAAAAACTCAAACGGGACAGATAAAAACGATTTACACAGTTTTAACCAATAAATATAAATCTAGGTATATGCTCAATATTAATATAAAACAAGTTTACATTAAACATTGAGTACTGTGCAGTAGTTTATAGCCTTCAATTATATAATGTAAAAATATATTTATTGCTTCGCCGCAGAACCGCCTGTTCCAGCGTGATCATCGGGACCGCTTGGCCCTGCAGCCAGACAGCATTTATGTGCCACATATGCTGCCGCCTTCGGCTTACCTGGACAATCCCTCGAATGCAGTTACCACGAGGTTTGTGAAGACGGCCACTAACAAGATGCGCTGTCCAATTTTCACGTTGGCCTGGACGCCGGAGGGCAGACGTTTGGTCACCGGGGCCAGTTCTGGCGAATTTACCCTCTGGAACGGCTTGACCTTCAACTTCGAGACCATTCTGCAGGTGGGTTTCCGTCAGCAGATCCCATGGGATCAAATTTAATCGGTAATATTGTCAAACAGGCCCACGACATTTCGGTGCGAACGATGGTGTGGTCGCACAACGACAGCTGGATGGTGACCGGCGATCATGGCGGCTATGTTAAGTACTGGCAGTCCAACATGAACAACGTGAAGATGTACCAGGCGCACAAGGAGGCGATTAGGGGAATAAGGTATAGCCATTTAATTGTAATTGTCGACTGTATTTACCATTTTGTAGCCGCTGACGCAAGACAACCAAGCCAAAACCAAAGCCAGAATCGCGTTGTTTCCATAGTTTCTTTTGTTTGGGTCGTTTGGGATGTTTTGGGTATTTTTCGTTTCCTGATCAGCTTAGTGGATCGGTTCCTTCAGGGCTGTTGCAAGTACAAACCAATAAAACCGTCAATTCAGCAACAAGCCACCCAGTTATCAGTTTCGCCTTCTCGGCTACTTAAGTTTTAACCTCTCAAAGGAGAAAAAGTTTCAAATATGTTGTAAGCCTCGAACTCTTCTGTGATATATCAATAAAGATGAAACGAAATAAAAAGACTGAAAGTGAAATGATACAAATGCAATATTGAGAAAAGCTAACAATAAAAGCATCTGACTAAGAACAAAAAGAAACCACTGCACAATTTTATTTCCGCGGCCACAACATCAACAATAAATAAAATGCATTGTGTTGCACTGATTGTTCGAAAAATCGGGGGTTCGAGTGTTTTCTTTCTCAAGACTGGCGATAAATCTTGGCGTATGGGCAACCCATCTTGCGACAGATCAAGTAAATCTGCAACAAATCTTATCCTACTGAAAATAAATAAAATTAAAAAGGATTTGTGTTGAAAATATATACTTTTCATTAAATATTGTTAATAACTTTTATATATTTTGTGATTTTAGTGTTTCCTTACAATTCAACAAGAACCATTTAAAACAATCTAATTTTAATTGATCCCAAAACATTTTTGGAATTCAAATATAAATCGTAACGAACAAATTTAAAATTTATATTTAAAAGTTACGACATTGCAAAATATATTATTAGAAAAAAGACATAAAAAAATAAAGCAACATCCAAAACTATAACTAAATTCAGAATAATTTTTAACATGCCCGACAATGCGTTTAAATTTAACAATATTATAACAAAATAAATTATTTACTTTGATAGACATTTTCTATGTTCTATAGGACGCTCATAGCGTGATTATTCCTTTTATTTCTTACTCGCTAGAACCTTTTACTAGTTTAATTAAATCGAAACTTCGAATATCTTTTACATAAAATGTTGGATTTCACTTTTATCAATCGCTGACACCGCCCACACTCACTATCATCTTCCGATCCGTGTTTTGTTTCGTTCTAACCGTTCTCCAATGCCATCCACAAAACGCAGTTTCAGTCCCACGGACAGCAAGTTTGTCAGCGGCAGCGACGACGGAACCCTGAGGATATGGGACTTTATGCGGTGCCAGGAGGAGCGTGTTTTACGAGGTGAGAACTAGGGGATTATTTCAAAACAGAGCTCAAGGTAACTAACTTATCTTAACCAGGCCACGGAGCGGACGTGAAGTGTGTGCACTGGCATCCCCATAAGGGAATGATCGTCAGCGGAAGCAAGGACAACCAGCAACCCATCAAAATCTGGGATCCCAAGAGCGGCATTGCCTTAGCCACGCTGTAAGTATCAGAAATGGTATTAATCTTTAATACAAATTATTTTGACAACTCACTTCTGGGGTGACAGTATTAACCTATAATGAATATCAATTCAAAATCTTAATCAATCTTACATGATATTTACTTATCCTCAGATCCAAAATTATTTTAATTAAAATACTAAATTATGAACATTTTAGAAAATTGTACTACTAGTACAACTAAGTATATCTGACTAAAATGCGAAGGAAATAATTTTTTTGGAAAGCGAATTTGAAATATTTAGCCTTTACAGAACTGAAAGCAATAATATTTACTTAATATTCCTGGATAATATAAATTTTTAATAAGAATTGTAATGTATTACAGACATGCCCACAAATCCACCGTAATGGATCTGAAGTGGAATGACAATGGTAACTGGCTGGTCACCGCGTCCAGGGATCACCTGCTCAAGCTCTTCGACATTCGCAACCTGCGTGAGGAGGTGCAGGTCTTCCGTGGCCACAAAAAGGAGGCCAGCTCTGTATCTTGGCATCCCATACACGAGGGTCTCTTTTGCTCTGGCGGCTCCGATGGTTCCATTTTGTTCTGGAATGTTGGGTGGGTTGTAGTTCTTAATCTGTAAGAGAGTCTTGAGATCGATTAAGACCATCTTTTTGCTTATAGTACCGATAAGGAGATTGGCTGTGTGGAGACGGCACATGACAGCATTGTGTGGACCTTGGCCTGGCATCCGCTGGGACACATTCTGTGCTCTGGCTCCAACGATCACACCATTAAGTTCTGGACGAGGAACAGGCCGGGAGATCTGATGAGAGACAAATACAATCTGAACACCTTGCCCGCCAGCTTGGCTGCTCTGGACGAATGTGAATATGGTAAGTGAAAATGCCACATTTCTTGTACATCCGAAATATCTACCCCACCTCCCTAACAGATGATGCCATTATACCAGGAATGGGTCCCGAAGACCGGGTTGAGTTCACAGAAAGTTTAACTGCCGACAAGGGCTTTATTCCTGGACTGGACTTGGACCCAAGCAGAGCTCTGAGCGACCGCGACAGGGAGAAGAAGGTTCCCTACAGCAAGCCCATTCCTCGCAACTTCCAGGTGAACTGGGCGGGTCCCCGGAGAGCGGACGATCCCAGCGTGCTCAGCATCCACGAAGAGCTTGCCGCCCGCGAGGCCAAGGACTCGACAAGCGGGCTGAACCACCAGCAGATCAGCGAAAACACAATGGAGGGAATCCTGGCTAGCGGCATGCTCAATGGCCTCGATCCTCAAACTATAGTCGGGGTCCTTGTGTACAATCGATTTATTCGCGTGCATCCGGACTCTCGCCTGATGGCAGCTATTCGTCAGGGAACCGAGTTCCTCAACAAGTACATCGACGCCGGAAAGTTGGAGGAGCTCAATGATGTGGTCCCAGTAAGGGATCGCTCCAGATCCGTTTCGCCCACGGTGGAGGTACGAGGGGAGGTGGTTTCTCCTCCTACCAAGAAGTCCCGCTTTGAACCTCGACAGCATAACGCTCAATTGGTGTGTGTTCGAGAACTGCTGCAACTGAAGAAGCCCTTCCTGCAATCGCTGGTTGCGGCGAAAGCCCAGCAACCCAACACGGAGTTCGTGGACGAACCGCCTCTGGAGCAGAGGGAAAGAGAGCGCGAACGGGAACGAGATGGCGATCGCGACAGGGAGAGGGATCGCGGTCGCGAACGGGAGAGAGACCAGTCAGGGGGCAGGCCCAATCCCTGGGCTTCCAATGCCCCCTGGTCGAATAATGGCAATTCTGGGGGCAATGGATCCAATGGCTTTACCAACAATGGCGCAGATAACTTCAACGATCGGGACCGAGAGTTCCAAAAGGGCGGAAATAACGGAGGAGGTGGCCAACGTCGCCGTCGTGGCAACAATAATTCCGGTTCTGGTGGCGGCGGAGGTGGAGGAGGAGGAGGCGGTGGCGGCGGTGGTGGCGGCAGCGGCAGAAATCGCGGACGCAACAATAACAGGCGCTACTAATCGCTATCCCACCAGCGCACCCATTTACACATTCTTCAGTTATAAGCCCCTTTCTGTCGTTGACTCAATCTCGTTTGCAACATTTGCTTTTCAATGCTAAAATCAATTTATATTGTATAAAAAAAGAAAATCGGATTGTAATATAGTAAACATGTGTGTTTTATTCTTGCGGTAATTTTAACTTTAACATGCCGCTTGAAAAGAGCATAGTTGAAAAACTTCACCACTTCGGAAACTTTATAGATAAGTCTCATGCAATGAAGTTTTTAAAAGCAAAGAATCGCTATACATTTTTGTATATATACATAACCAGGAAAAGGGATAACTATGTGGGTTAGTGTTTTAATAATTTTTACAGTTTTGATAGGTAATTTCCCAAAAATGATTAATAGATCAGCTATGGTGGCTTTTGGCTGTTGTTATGGCAGTTCCTTTATGATTTCGTTCACTAAAAATTACAATTACATATTTCACTAGATTATCAGCTAATATTTTTGCACGATAACAAGTTATATTAACTTCAATCGGATGGGAAGTACGCAAGTCGAGAAACAGTGTAATTCAGGGGGAACAACTTCGATATCTTTATTTACGGAACTCTTACTAACAACTAAACTAATGATTATGTTTCAGGCAGCCAGTGAATTGCGGCGACTGCTGCGTTTGCTGATGCTGTCTCGTCTATCGTTGGATTCCTCCTGTGATTGTGTGTCCACGTGGTTGCTGTTGTGGCTGTTGGTACGGACATGTCTGAAGTTTTCCTTGATTTCGCGCTCCTCCTCGCGCATCCGGTCCTTCGTATGCTGTTCGACGGTGCGCTGAATTTTCTCGGCTGAAGCCACCAACTTTTCCGCCTCCAGTTTCACCTCTTTCGGTGTGTGGCTGCGGCTTCTGCTGTTAGTACGACTGCTGCGATGACGACTTCGGTGATCACGACGCGAATTCGAATGCCTGCGGGAGTGGGAGCGGGAACGCGATCGGGAATAGCTGGTGGATCGGGATCGTCGCGTGGATGCCAGTTTGCGGTTCTTGCGCTGTGATGGCGTCTTACTGCGGCTGCGAGAAGATCGGCTATGGCTGCGCCTAAGATATGAAGCATTCCGATTTAAATGTGTATATACTGCCAGACATATGTGCTGCATTTTTTGTTACCTGGATCTTGATGAGTACGATGACTTTCGATAATGGGAGCGGCTTCGCGACTTTGAGCGTCTGGAACGACAAACAACACTATATTTGTTTATAGTACAATGTAATCAAAATCTACGCATTACTTACCGCCGTCCCCGGGAACGACTCCGACTCCTGGAGTACGAAGATGAAGAACGAGAGCGATTTCTGAAATTTAAAGAAAATGTCTATTAGTTTAGCGAATCAGTACTTTCAACATTCGAGTCTTACCTGCCCCGCGATGATTTGTGGTAGTAGCCGTTGTCGCCCTCGTCGTCGTAGCGATCGTGCTTGGAATTGTAATACGAGTCATATCCGGAACGACCACCCCTTATCCCGATGCCACGACCTCTTCCGCGACCGCGTGGACGTGGAGCGAACCCACGATAGTTGCTGGATACTGGAAATGGAGCTGGTGGACGATAAAGCGCTCCCGGAAATACACCCGGCAAGCCGTATCCAAACATAGAGAGGGACTGCATCCATTCGCTGGCGGCCTCGGCACTGTAAGGAGCCGCTCCTGGGACAGCGCCAGCGGCCATTGCGGCTACCGCTTTCAACGGGTTAAGTGCGGAGTTAGCATCGGCTACCGCTGCAGAGTTAGCTATGCCATTGCCTAGTTTGTGCCTCTTACTAGCCGCCACTTCGTCATCGCTGCTTGCGTCCATTGGCGCTGCACTCTTTTTGGATTTGCTTTTTAGAAGACCCAACAGTGGAGTGTTGCTTTTAATGTCCTGCACGATTTTACGCTGATCACAGACGAGCTTCTCTGTAGCAGCCTTGTACTTTTCGACCAGACGGCCACGCTGGATGTCCTTAACTTCATCTTGCTTGGCTCGACGGTTTTTGTCCTTTTGCTTCAGCTGAAATGAGTAAGCAATGTGAGCATGTGAGAAGTTAACTTTATAATATATTCAAAGCTGAATTTGAAACCGATTTGAGTTATAATTATGCTACCTCAAAGACTTTCTTACCTGTATCCGCTCGAATAACTTTTCCAGGGTGCGTATACTCTCCAGCTTGCGTTGTGCTATCATCAGCTTGCGCTCCTCGATGCGTATCTTTTGCGAGATCTCCACCTGGCCGCGCTCCTGGATCTTTTTAAGATGCTTTTCTTTCCGCTTTTCTTCGCGTTCACGCTGCTTTTCTGCTTCTGCTATTTTCAACTCTTCTTGCTTTTGCCTGTAATTTTTGTTGCAATGTTGCGGGTTTTTGTTTTGCTTTTGATATATTTGTTATGCATAATAAATATTTGTTAACTGTTCGTCTAGAAGATACAGAGAACGGTTGGCTAAAGGCTCGCCTCGCCCAGCGGCCGCCAGGTGAGAAGCATAAATATGTAAATGTAAAATTGCCAGATGAGAAAACAGTAGTATAGCAAAGCTCAACGCGACATTTATGACTTAAATTAAATAAAGAAATCCCTGATGGGGATTACTTATTAAACTGACGGAGCGATCGCCATTTGATTACTGCTTCCTGTCCCCGGCCCAAAATAATGATCAAACCTTTCGCGTTCCAGTTGTTCTTCCTGCTGCTTTTTTAGCTTTTCCCGCTCCTCGTCCTCGGCTTGTGCTTTTGCGATGCACTTCTTCCGCATGCGTTCTCGGCGCTGAACGTGCGAGTCGCTGAGATGCTTCTGCTTGTCAAAGTTGACACAAATGTTGATGGCCTGGGTTTTGTCCACAAACTTTCGGACCAGCTTAGTGCCCCTGAACTCATCCATGGCGCGCACAAAGCTGGAGTACTCCTCGAATTGAACATATCTGTAAGGACAATAATTGATAAGAGCATTATCAAATGACAAAAGTAATTCCAAACTCACGCTTCGAAGAGAACATCCTGCTCAAAGCTGAACGTTCGCATGCCGTTGATGTCCGCCTGCATGCTCTTTCGGTACGGATCACAGATTGGTATGTCCACCATCCGGACACGACCGTACTTCTCGAAGATTCGCTTAAAGATGCTCTCGCTGGGCTTGACGTGCTCCTCGTGCTCCGAGTGCCGCGGACAAAACCAGCGCATGGGCAGGTGACTCAGGTGAATGGTGTCCGGCCGTTCGCCCGCCTTCATTTCGTCCATGTTGCGGGCATCCCGGAAGTAGGAGTCCCAGTCGTGTCGCGTGGGGAACTCATCCTTGTGCTCTGTGCAACGCACTCGAAACGACTCGCTGAAGCCAGAGATGCGCAGGGAAATGCCGTCCAGGCGTTGGATGGCCGGCCGGAGGCGTTTACGCTCATCCAGCTCAGCTTCCAAACGGATGGTGTTTACTGTGCTCTTGGAGACCTAATGGGGTATACGAATTGTGACTAATTGATATGGCTAGTTGTTTGCCGGGAACATTTCTAGGGTATACTTTTCTTTTTAGAAAAGGAGTCTTTATTTATAAAGTTTAAATGAAAATAACATCAACTTTAAAGTAATTAGGAAATCCTTGAATTCAAAACCCAGGAAATGCAGCACTTACTTTGAGCAGCAGAAACTTGTCCGGTTTGAGCTCGGCGCCCAGTTTGTCCATTATCTCCAGGTTGGACACGGATTTGCCGGACTTGATCGACGGCAGCGAAACGGAGATTTGCATTTTGGCCAGCGGCTTGAGGTACAAGCTGTGCGGCAGGTAAAGAGGCGTGCAGTCGGCCACATTTTCTATGGTCTGGATGTTGGTCATTTGGAAAAGGGGTTTGTTTTGTTCGGTTTTTGGATTCGACACAGTACAATGTAATGAGGCAAAATACAGAAAGTAATATTTGTGTTCATATACCAAGTAAACAGACTAAACCTAGAGCTAAAAACTATGGTGTAATCCTAAAGAAAATGCAAAAGGAAATGCCGCCCATGAATGTGTATTGGTGAGTCTGCAGGAAGGAGGGGAAATTCTGTTTGATGGGCGCCCGAATCGGATTGTTTGGGTTTTCGGACCACCTTAACCTTTGATCCCCGCTACTGCTACTTAGGTGTAATAAATGCTGTGACTTTTTGTGAGTGGATTCTGGGCTATTTGCTAGAAAGGAGAATTTTTCGGATTATTTTATTTGCACTTTTCACTAGAGATGGCAAACTGTCGATAGGCTCGTTAAACGAAACTCAGAGAGTGATGGACCAATAACTGGTATCACTTTGGTAATTAGGGATATTCGGGCAGGGAAACGGTTTAAGCTTTCTGGCGATGCTATATTTTGAAAACTAAAAACTATAATTTTTAGTAATTTTAATTTATGTATAAATAACTTCGGTTTCTATTTTTTTTTAGCATTTTCTTTAAATGTGACAGTGGAGTTCGCCTATCAAAATCACTGCTTGCAGCTTTTGAGTAACTTATCCCCTCTAGTTTCGCTATCGATATCGACATGAAAATCTGTTGTCATTCACATCGCGAGGCAAAAGCAAAGACAAAAAAGTGAGAACGAAGTGCGTTATTTCATTTTTATACCATTTAATTTAATTAGAAATCTAAGCAAAGCTACAATATGCGCGAGTGAAATTGTGCCACTTCAAAAACCCAGAAGGCTCCCGTGCCCGCTTCGTGTAAATGGCAAAAAACTGACGCGAAAAGTAAAACTGCCAACAACAACAAGCAGCAGCAAGCAGAAAACAGAAAGCAGCACCAACAACAACAACACCCACAGCAGCAGCAACAACAACGCAATTGTGATAGACAAAGAAATAGATTAAGAAAAGGAAGGCAAACAGCGAAAGAGAACAGAAGGAAGGGGAAAACGAAACGAAAACAGCCTGAAAATTATATGGAAAATATTTTCGTGTTCGAACATATTGATGGACACTGAGACTAAGGAAACTCGAGTAAATGCTTTTACACACTTGCACATTTGATACGCAACGAAAATAGCTTTTAAAGTAATAAGTAATAAGCAGGCGGAAGAAGAAGAATAGCCATACAAAATAAATAAGAAAAGCGTGGAAGGCAAAGTGGAAAATAAAAAACACAAACACTGTGGCGTTGAAAGAGAGGGAGCAGCAGGCGAAAATATAGAGGAAGAGCTATTATTTTGTTGTTGTTGTTGCTGTTGCAAATAAAAACACAAGCACACACGAACACACTCAGATACATACAAAGCCACAGCTGATGTAAAATAATTTGCAGCGCCTGTGTGTTCGTGCCCGTTTACAATTGATTAAAACCAAAACACACGAACACACCGCACTACACTCACACACACAAGCAGACAACAATAACACTTGCACACTGGCCCACCATTGTGAAAATTGATTAAAGATTATAAGGTGAGTGTGAGTGGGGCATGGTTTTAATTAACCGTTAGTTATAGTTTTATGCACACCACCACCAGTGCACCTGTCGACGCCCTTTTAACTGCATAAATTCCGCCCGCTCCCGTTTCCCCACCCAACACACCCAACACTTCTCGCCATTACACCAAAAGCAACTACACCTGCTGCCATTTTCTTTTTTTCGAACGTCAGCAACCCTCGCGCATTGTTGTTGTGTGCGTCCGTTTGAGCCAAATTGCAATTAATTGCCATAATTTACATATTTTACAAGAATAACTCGGTGTCTGTGTGCATTTGTTCGTCATTCGAGAGCTTTTTCCTGTTAACTGCAACCGAATGAGTGCAAAGGGAAATGCAATAAAACAAAACAACAGCTGAGTGAGAGGGAGATGGGGACAGGGCCGAAGGAGCGGAGCAAAGGGAAACGGAGAATGAGTTGCAGCTCGGCTCGGATTATCGAATATCGATAAGTTGCAGCAGACCAGCTGATCGTGTGTTTTCAGTTGAGTTTTATAATTGTCTGCTGTTTACGTTCTTGCTTTTTGTTTTCGCCTTTTGGCTTAACTTGTTTACAGCACTTGGAGTTTCTGTGTGAGTCATGCCCTTTAAACCACTTACCCACGAAGTCCGCATACATATTAATAAAGTGCAGGGGACAAACAAGAGTGCCGTTTACCATTAATTGCAGTTAGTTGCCCCCTGTCAGCCGCTCTTTATCGCTCTCCCTGCGAGAAAGTGCTTTTTCCTGCCCCCCACAACGACCGAAGAAGAGAGAGCTGATAAACTCTGACTGCGCTGCCGACGACGCTCTGTAATCAGTTTGCAGCGGCAGAGGAGTTCACTTTCAGTTCACTTGGCTTGGTTCAGGGTTTTCTGCTCGTCCTCTTTCTCCTCGCCGAAGTGTGCTATTTGGCACCGTGACGTCACCTAGACTCACCCCTGACCAAAGATCCGCTAGTTTGGATTCTTTGTTGGTCCAGTACAATAACCCCGGAGCTATGTAGTGCTCTATTAATAGTACTGCTGTGGGTCAACAGGTTTAGCGGTCTATATTTCGGTCTCTTTATCAGAATTTGGACTAGGTAACCTGCATTGTCCATATGTTTATAAAAAAGAACAAAATCACTTAAATTGAATGTTAAAATTGTCGAAGGCCACCGCAGTAATTTGCTCGGTAATTTGGCAATTAAGTTAGTCATTGTATGCTTAGCTTAATTTGTTAAATAAATAAATGTTAAAATTATTTATAATGAGTGGTGTTCAGTATGGAGCAGTTTTTTCTGTGTAGTCCAAGCTTAATTTGTATTCAAATTTTGCAAAAAAACTCTTGTACTTGTATTAAAGTTTTTCAAATCATATTATATTTAATCTTTTAAGTTCAATTTTTAAATAGTTTTCATATGTTGTTGGTTTGTATTATGTTATATTTATTGATTAAAAATGAAAAATTTGACAAAAATTCAAATTTTATGATAGCACAAGTGTCTTTAAATTTGGTGTACGTTGTACATTGTATGTACCAACAAACATAAATACATATTTGTATACCACCAAATTATTCACCCTAAATAAAATGTTTTTCTTGGTCCACTGACAGTTTTTTGATTGCTCAAGTGTTTTGGAACCATAAGTCCGAATCTCCCTGTAATGTGTAGTTTCGTATATATACACTGTAGTTTATTCACATAAAAGATGCTTATCTGCTTCATCTTCATGAAATAGACTCAAAGTTTATCACAAACTTTTTTAATATCTTTTTTGTTGATCAACTAAAATAAATCCGAACATACTATTGTTTTAATGGAAAGTGCGTAATTTAAAATGGGAAATTCATGTTTTGAAACCGGATAATCAAGACCACATAGAAATACAACATCTGCTTTCAAGTTTATCAGCCAAACCGATATTTGGAGTTCCCCTTTATGTCACATTTTGACACATACCTCCAAAAGTGCAACATAGATACTGCTCACCACCCCTTAGATAAGATCTTATCAGGTTGGGGCTCGCTTGCTATCGCGATTCTATTCAGGTTGAGGGGTCCGAGATTATTGCACTCTGGCATGTCATTGGTGATTAATCGGCCGGTTATTGCATTCTGTCTATCAGTTCCGAAAGCAATTTCATCAATTTGCTTAAATAGTACCTGGCATTCTCTAGGTATTACAGATGCTCCTGGGTTAATCGTTCCCGGTATTTCGTCAGCTATAAAAACGGCGTACCGTTACACGTGTCCCCGAACTATGGAAAGTTTTGAGGAAACCGTCAGTAATAACCCGCGTCTTGGAAATTTACAAGTTTGGTTTAACGAAATCATGAAATTCGCTTAGGTAAAAAAAAGGACCGCGGAATCAGGTAAATGCTGGTGCGTCGGCGTCGCGGTTTACGGCGGCGTTGGCATTGACACATGCGCAGCAGCAATTACTCTCTCTCTCCGACTCACACGCTGAGAGTCAGTGCTGCCACCTCTCGCTTCCCAATTATACACGGCTAATTCTGATCCTAGCTAAAGTTCTTTTCTATCGTAAGGGTTTCCCGTAAACAAATGTCGGTAAATACAATTCCTACGTTTTATAAATAGGATCATTGGCGGTATTACCGAGCTTTAGATTTTAGTTTATTTAATTAAAACTAACTAGGTTTCTGGAATTATGTGCATACATATATGAAAGAAAAGAGGTAACCAAATTCGGTTTTTTGTATCTTTAACTACAAAATTTTAATTTGTTAATAATATTCTTAATCCTATTCAGGATTTCGGAAGAACGCTTTATCCCTGATGAAAAATGTAAAAAAAGTTAGTTATTGGCAAGTTTTCTGTTGGAAAGCAAAATGTAGCTAGCTATAAAATGCAATATCTTTTTTTTCAACGGACCGTTCAGTATGATCTTATGTGTTAGTATTCTTAGAACTATAGAACTTATGGTAAATTATCTTAGTAAAAATCGCATTTTCTAGCATGTACAAGTGCATATAACCCCTTTAAAAAAAGCTTTTTATTAAGAGCCCTACTCACATAATTAAATATATTTTTAAGTAGGCGAAGGCGTCATGAATAAACTTAAAAGATAATTTAAACCTACAGTCGAACTTCCATAATTCGTACCAACATCTGCCGCCAAAAAAGGTTGAGTTATTAAGATTTCGCTTTCATAATATAAATGAATTCGAGTTAGAGGTTCCGAGCTGTGGAAGCCCAACTGAATATTCGCAGAATTAGATTTGAAGAATGTTATTTATCTTTTATTATTCATCCTTTTGATAAACAAGTTAGCAGGCACTCAAGTCTGGCTACAAAATGGCTGAGAGAACCACACTGCGAGTAGCCGCGATCGTCGCACACGTGCGGCGCTCTCTCGCCCGCTCAACGTTTCTCTCCGCCTCTCGCCGTCCACTCTGCTCATTTGTTTTCGAGCCACCCGCTAGTCTAGACGTGTTCAAATCAAGGTGCGTTGATAACACGTTCCACGCTGTTGTTGCTCTGGTTGCTGCTGTTTACGGCTCGCAAAATAAACACATAGTGTGGGGAAAAGTGAGTGCGCGTGTTCTAAGTGCGGAGCCATGCTCTTTACGCTTTTCCGCTTTCCCTGTTATGCGCCTTATCGCCAAAAGCCGTCTGCGAGGCCAAACTGTAAACAAAATTATAAAAATAAAATTGAATAAGCGTCTGTGCACATGCTCGCCCTGCTATTTTTTATTGCGACTCGGAAATGGCCCAGTTAGTCATTAACATTTGATCCGCCCCCACGCTACGCCTCCCCTCGGCCCTCTGACGACACAAAGAGAGCAAAAAACAACTGCGACAGTCTGTCTAACAGCTGTTGAGGAGCGACAGAGATCGAATCAATGGCTTAAAAATAGCTAAGCTAATCTCCGCGGCAGATTGTAGTGGATTCAATAGTTGTAAACGATGAAGTGTGTTTGGTTTTTGTACCAGTCGGCTTGCTTATCAAATGGTTTAAAACTGATTTAACATCTCCAGAGAATTTAGGTGGGCCTACTATAGTAGTAGTGTGTTTATTATTTTCAAAAAAATATCATCTGTTTTCTAAAAAAACATTTTTTGAAAAATTTTAATATCGTTTTCGATTAAGTTGTCTAGCGAGGAAAAACAGGTTGAATAAATTAATTTTAGAGCTTAACCTAAATAAACAATAAAGATCGATTAGACAAACTACACGTTATGACATTGAGCTAATTGATCATTGGATCTAAATGAGTTGAATGCGCATCACAGATAACAGTATCTTTACTCACCCGTTCTCTTTGTCTCTTTTGTTTTGTATCTTCCAGCTTAACACTCACAAAACAAACACGAGTACAAGGCGACCACAAGTACAAGCACACGAACCGATGAGGGAACACCACTAAATCTTCTGAAGCACTGCCAAAACATAAGCGATACGACAGGAACAGAAGGAGGAGGAGGCGGAGCGGGCGTGGGAGAGGGAGGAGCGGGAGCATCCCCTCCAGGTAGCCAAGTCGAGGACACAGAGGGAACACCAACGGTTCCATGATGCTGTACGTGTTCCACGTGGACGTCGGCCGCATGCTGAGCTTTGACATGAACGTTGCCCTGCAGTCGGTGGAGCACCTGAAGGACACGATCCAGAAGCTGCACAACATCCCGGCCGCCAACATTGTGCTGTTGGTGAGCGGCGGAGAAATGCTGACGCACTCAACCCAGGTGTCGTGCTACTCGGCTGGCACAGACACCAATCCCATCTACATGTTCCTCACTGGGGACGAGCGCCCGGCGCCAACGATATCCAATTCGGACGCCGACGCCGAGCTCCGTCGCCAGGTGGAGGAGAGCCACCGCCTGCCCCCGGCCCTGGAGACGGTGCGTCAGCGCGCGCAGTTGGCGCAGCACATGCGGGAGCTGGCCAGAAAGGAGGAGGATATTTGCGAGCGTCTGGTCCACGAGCAGCACCTCCAGCAGCAGGGCTGGTCGGCGGTTGTGGCCAATATGGAGGATCTGACGAACGAGTTTCGCGAGCGCTTCCACAATTTCTGCTCCTCCTTCGATCGGCATCTCCAGAAGCGGGAGAGCTATTTGGAGCTGTTGCGCAATTTTGCCGATGATCTCAAGCAGCTGGGCAGGATACCCATACTCCCGGCCCTAATGTCCCTGGCCGAGGCGGATTTCCATGGCTTTGACGAACTGTTGGAGAACGACGACGTGTTTACCGCTCAGCAACAGCTGACGCAGCAGCAGCCGGGTCTCACTGAATCCTCGCAAGCGGACTCCCCCAACAAGAAGCTGAAAATGGGCGACGAGGCGGAAACCGACTCTGCTGACCAGCAGGAGCGCGTTTCCCAGACCTCGACCAGCAGCAGTTCGCTGGCTCGTCGCCACAACCTTAACCTGCTGCAGTGGATTAGCTCTAAAGGTAACCACAGTGCTCTGCAACTCATGTCAGACGAGTGCATCCAGGGATTGGATATCTTCAGTGCGGAGATATATGAGAAGCTGAAGGAGGAGGTCAAACAGATCATTAAAATGGCCAACCAGGGCGAGGTGAAGGAGATTAAGGGCCTCGGTGACCGACTCTGCAAACTGGAGGAGTTTAAGTTCCGGATCAAGAAGATGGTGCAGGAGCAAAAGGAGCAGGCACTCGCCCTGCAGCAGAACGAGGCGCGGGCGCAGAATCTGCGCGACAACTCCGTCCTGCCGGACCTCTGTCTCTCGCATCGCTCCCAGCTACAAGTGATGCTGGAGAATCACACAAAGATACGCGAGTACTGCCGCTGCATAGCCAACTCCAAGGACGAGCTGGGGTGGAATCTGCACACTCGTCTGCGCCGGATCGTGTGGATCGAGAATGGGATGAGTGAGTTTGACAATCGGCTGCTGTTCAACCATCGCTGCTTGCGGCGTGCCGAACGTCACATCAGCATCATCGAACAGATCCACCGTGCGCCGAGCACTTATGTGGCCGCCGTCGCGGAGGTGGTGCGTCGGAAGATCTTTTCGGATGAGTTCCGGCAGTGGGCCACCCGACTCTCTGTGGACTTCGATCGCATCCACAGCGAGGAGTTGCGCCGGAGGAGGGAATTCAATGCTAGCTTTGAAGGTCATTTTCTCAATATTCTGTTTCCTGGCATGGCTGACATGCCTCCAGCGTTCGCTAATGAGCACCCTTTGAGCTTTGACACGCGTCTCCCTCCTCTGAGTCGATCGGACATGGAGCTGCTCTCCTCGCAGTTGCCGGAACTTGCCGGACAGCTGCAGTTGCCCGACATGAAGCCAGTGATAGACTTTTTCGTCATCCGGTCGGGCAAAGGTGGTGAGCAGGATCAAGAACCGGAGCAGGAGACCCCACTGATAGCTCCCCGCTTGGCCGAACTGCAGGCGCAGACAGCTGCCTCCGATTGCGAAACGGATACAGAAACCGAGTTCGAGAAGCTCAGCACCACGTCCAAGTGCGTTGCTACATCAACCTCTGCCAGTTTGATAGAGCAAATAGCACGGGGCACTGCCACCGAGGATCTGCTCATGCTCAGTGCTGGCACCCTGACGGAAGAGAATGCTGGCAGTCTCCAGAGGATGCGTAGCGACATGGAAAACATGTCGAAGCTGGCACGAGCCTGCCTCGCCGAAGCTCGCTCTAATTTGGGCATCTTTCGCAATGATGCTGCTAACTACCAGGATGAGCTCCAGTCCGAGCTACATCTCCTGCGGGATAAGTGCAATGTGCTAAAGATGCAGTGTGAGGCACGCGAACAAAAATCCCTAGAGCAGCTGGAGGAGATGCGCTTGAAACTGCAGTTTGCGGAGCAGGAGAAGCAAGCTGCAGTGGCGCAAGCCCGGGAGCAGCTCATCCACGAGCACAAAACAGAGCTCGAGTCGCTTCGTTGCCGGTTCAAATTGATGACATCCATGGAGCGCTCGCCGTCGGACTGTAGTCTTGAGAGAATAGAGCGTCCGACGAGCAGTGCCAGCGTGGCCAGCGCCAACGCCGGCGTGGATATCGACCATCTGCTTGCTCAGCAGCGCCAGGAGCTACTGGCCCAAAGGGAGCGTGCCATAAGCGAGGCCGTTGATTCGGAGCGATCGCTGTGGCAGTCACGCCTCCTGCCCCTGAACTCTGAATCTGTGATGGCCAACGTGGGCATATTAAAGGACATGCTGGCCGACAAGGAGCGGCAGCTGGATCAGCTGCGAGAGCAGAACAAGATCCTCACCCAGGAGTCGTACCAGCTGAAGACCCGACTGGAGATGATCACCAACGAGGATGGCAACAGCTGGCTCAAGGAGAAGATTGACTATCTGAACAAGGACAAGTGTCGGCTGGAAGAGGAGCTTAGCCAGGAGAAAAGCCGTCGCCAAGAGATGGAGACCAGTGTGGCAGCCATGAGAAGGTAAGGAATGCTAAATATAAAAGCCATAGCAAATAGCAGTTATTGAACAAAATAGAGTTATTTTAAACTGGCTTTAACTTCTTAAAAAGTTAGTTAATTAAATTAGCTTGTTCAAATTAATAGTTAAAATTAACTTGTTAGTTTAGCTGTGTAAATTTCTTAAGTTATTTATTTATTTTTTATTCACCACCTATTATTATTGTCCGGGCGGGAAAAGTTGAAAAAGCACTTAATTTTTTTTTTAATTTTGTTTAATTTGTTTGGTTTTCCGGTTAGACGAATGCTAACACATAGCTTTTCCGTTCATAGCTCTGCCTACGATCTGAATGTCGGTGGGCCCTTAACCCGTTCCAAGTCCGGCGTCAGTTCCGGTCACCGGGCCATCGCCTTGGAGGGATGTGCACGAGGCGATCTCGTTTTCGTGGTTTGGAGCATGCGTCATGCGCAGTTTATGGTCGTCCAGGACTCGCTCACCCTGTACTTTGTCCACGCCGACAGTCTCGCTGGTCTGCAGCTGACGGCTCCGGCTGCACCCACTCCGGCACTAGATCCCTCGCTGGCAGTTGTGGATCTCAACCAGATCCCGCTGCCGTACTACGCCATAGGCCGGGTTATCGACAAGGAGTACTGTCAGGCGCGAAAGGTGAGTTCTTGTTTTTAAGTTTATTTGGAATGAAAACTAACCAGTATGGCTTCTTTGCAGGACGACAATCGCTATCGCGTCAGCAGGGGCTCCAAGTTCTATCGCATAAAGCTAGCGCCGTTGCCCTCTCGAAACGCTTCGCGGCGGGAGCGCTTAGAGTGTAAGTAGCAATTGAAGAAGGAGATTCGTCAATAGTTCAGAACACGTTAATTTATTGAAAACTATAAAGAATATTTGCATTCCAAAATATGATATGTTTATCAATTATTTTTGTTACTTACACATTTGTACATATTATGAGAAGAAGAAGCTCTAAGAATTATTAGTTTTCGTTGTGATATTTTGATATTACAGCTATATTACAGATTCAACCAGTAAATAAATTGGTTTTGAGAATAGTTTTCCAATGGATATAAACAAATTAAATGTGTCGTCGTTTCATTCACAAACTTACACCGTCATGGAGAGCGATGAGGAACCAGCAAAAAATTAACTTATGTCTTTCTTTTTAGCCAGCTCATCCGCCGCCGCAGCCGTTGCATCGCCCAGAGATGTCATCGATGCTCCCAGCAGCAGCAGCGTCTACCAGAGCTTCAAGCAGCGCACGGTGAGCATTACGAGCGTGAATGAGGAGGATGACGAATCAGCTTCACTGCTCAGTGAACGTTGTCGCTACATAAGCGTCAGCGAGGAGGATGAGTTGCATGCTGCTGGCGGCTCCGTGTCGGCAATAACAGCTGCTGTTGCAACAGCCACATCGACTGCAGCAGCATCAACAACTACAACTGCTGCAGCAGCAGTAGCGGGACCGACGACAACTGCAGCGGCGGCAGCAACTCAAGCACAGTCTGTGATAACAGAGCAGCCAACGGCATCGAGCAAACTTAAATTGGATCTACTGTTGGCCTCTGCTGATATAATAACACAACCCCTAACACAACAACCACATCAACAGCGACAGGAACAAGAACAACATGTTGAGGTGGAGAGTGCAGCGCCTGTGGCTGGAACAAGTCCAAATCAAACAATTCAACCGGAGAACCCGGAACCGGAAACCATCACCATCTATGTGCCCCCCAATCCCCCGGCACCATCAACTGCAACGACCACTACAAGTGCTAGCATCCTGGACCCCAATACTGCGGAGCCGATTGTCAGCACAGCCCCCATGCTACCAATGTCCATTGGTACGGCGGCCATAAGCGAGGACTCCGACGAGTACCGATCGCTGGAGGGCAAGGATGACGGCGATGCCGATGCCGATGATTTCCCCATTTCCGAGTAGTGAGCGACAATTGGGAGTTACATATAACTACTTATATACATAAATGGAGTGTGTATCTAGGCTAAATCTTTTACTCTGTGTAGGAACCGCAGCATACAAACAAAATACCCCCTAAATATAAGCCACAGGGCCGTCACCGACACAATACAGCAACACCAACAAGCAACAACAACCAACCACAGCAACAGAAAAGTGAAAAGTTATATACTTAACTAATTTAAAGTTTACCAAGTGCAGAATATATATTCAAACAGAAACTGAAAACAAATGTTCTATGTAGTCTATGTCTACATAATGATATAATCTTATCAAATTTGAACGCGGGCCTTACCCCTTCAAACACAATCACACCAAGACACAAACACAAGCTAGGATTTTCAAAATTTTTATTTAAAATAAAAATAATGTACTTTATCAAATTTACCTTATAATCAATATATTTACATTGGTAGTTTTCGGTTTAAAGTTATAATTTCCTTCATTTAGTGCCAAGAAAATTATTTCCAAGTCACACTAGTTTCGTAGCGAGTAAAATTGAAATGAGAAAAACAAAATTATATTTTTTATAGGCATTTTAAAAAGACTAGAACACAAAGAGTTTGCACACATACCCACCCTCACACAAAAACACAAACAAACACAATCTTTTGGGCTCAGCCTGCAAAAAACACAGTTTTATGCTCAGCTTACAACACTCTGCTACCCCGCCTCCCCCAAAAATCAAACTTCTACTCTCTCTCCCTCTCTATATCTAAGATATTTTGATTTTTCGACTTTGTGTAAATAAATAAGAACGGAAATCGACGAATAGTTATTTATGCCTTTATTAATAACAAGGAAACACTTGAAAATTACAACAACAAAATAGATATATACACATTTAATGATTTATGCGTTATAATTTTTTAACGCAAAATGTAAATAAAACAAAAAATAATATTTAAAAATACTTTAAACAATTTAAATGAGGAATCGTGGAAACGATGGTGTAACAAATGCGGATCGCAAAATTGTCAAGCTTACAAAAAAAGTGTAAAATCAAAAATCAAATAAAAAATGGTAAACATTTCAAAACTACAATCGCTCTTTTATTTTATGATTCTGAACATTTGGATGAAAATAATTTATTGCTGATTGGTTTCAAACTGTTCATCGAAACGCTGATACTATGTGGGCATATTAATCAGCATTCTTGAATTTTATTTTTCGTATAGCCAAGTTATTGCTTAACTATTTACAAGCAAGTCTTATAAAAGAAAAACATTTAAGTTTTATGATAATTCATTTCCGTTTAAAAGCTTATAGCTTTATTAATTACAGTCATCATAAGAAGTATGAATTTCAAAGGGTCAATTTTCTATATGGTACAAACATTATTGCACATAATGACATAACTGCCAAAAAAGGGTTTAAGCAAATATCTTAGAAACGGTTTAAATTACCACAAATTGCTCACACATATCTCGACAAGGAGTTAGAACTTCTAAACCAGTGGGATTGCCTCGGCTTCAAAACTTCAAATCTTTTTCAAAAATCCTATCTATGTATAACATATGTAAAATATGTTGCCAAATAGATATTTAAATGTTCAATATCGTTGATTTTTCAATTTGACGAACTGTACAACAAAAAGTTGTGATTTTTTCACTTCATATAACTTGTAAAAATACCTATTGAAACATTAAATATATGGCAAAAAAGCAAAATTCAACATTTTAACCGTTCTTAACAAAAAATTAAAAAAGAAGAGAGATAAATCGGTCCCATATATTTACAGCTAAGGGAAATAAATGTTAAACAAAATAAAAACACATCGGGTAATTTACAAAAATAATTTATTAAGCGAATATTTTAATGAGTCATTACAATTATAAGTACAATATTAATAGGCTTAGGATTATTTATTCATATTCGGCTTATATAAATGTTTTCCGTGTGCCTTGTGCTCTAGCTGCAGATTTTTGCATAGAATGTGAACATCGGTCCACATAGAATCGCGCTTTGACATGACTTGCAATTAGTTAATAATTATATAAGCTGAATAATTAATTGCACATTTGGCCAAAGTAACTTGGCGAAGGGATTTCACATGGATATCTGGGCTGGGTTAGCGTGATAAATAGCCTTTTAATGTGCTTGGTTAGGCAAGCTTATACCCATGCTAACATGTCTATATACATATCCGATATAAAAGCAAAGCTGCTTCAGTCTCCGTTATAGAAAAGCGGGCATAATACATACAAATTTGATTTCATATCTATAACTAATTGGGGCAGTTTTTTGAGAAACTGCCAGTGCTTGTGCATATTGTCTGTGGTTTTGAGAACTCTCATCTACCCTTGCAGATCGGGTGCAATTATTTTGGTTAAAGGCTTGTAAAGCTGGGGTTCTTTATAATATTTTTTAAGGAGTACTTTGAGTATGAGCATTTTGATTAAAATTAAAATAATACCATTCAAGGTTAAGGACTTAAGTTTGGGTCAGGTAAATCTATTGTGAAACTATTACGAATATTTTATATGAACAATAGTTTTTTTTTCCAATTTTACATATTTTTCAATGAGCTGGTCTCCAGCACAAGGAGATGGGAATGCATCAAACAAAGTTTTGTAAAATAATATTGAACCACTGTTTGCAGTGGTTCAATATTATTTTAGTCTTTGATAAAAGTTTAGTTTCTCAGTAAGTCTGCAAGGGTATCTCCTCTTCGTGGTTTGCTACGAAGATCCACTTTGTTGCCTCCGATTATCTTTGCTGCTCCGTAAGCATGTCTGAGCCACATCACGCGGAGTCTGTGCACGACTAGTGAATGGCTGTGGTTGCATCCAACGGTTGGCTGGCCACCCGGCTACGACTTCATTAGACTCCAAAATAATTGAGCGTTAAATATGCTCCAGTTATTAATTGCCAGTCCAGTCGCCCCTGCCATCCATCCAGCTAATCCAACAACTCCTTACAATATTCCACACTTCTTGAGCACAATCTTGCGCTTCCGGGCGACGCTGGAGCCGTGGCCCTTCTTCGCCGGACGGAGGACGATGGTGCCGCTGCTGGACTTGGTGAATGTCGGACTGAAGGCGCTAATCGTGGGCGTGCTGCTGTAGGGCGGATGGCTCGAGTTCTGCTGGTTTCCGGCGGCCTGGTCGTAGCTCTGGGTCATCAGCTGATGGCACTTGGTGGCCAGGTAGCGGAACACGGACGCCACGTTGATGTCCTCCTTGACGGAGGTGCGGATGAGCCGGCAGTTGAGCAGCTTGGCCAGCGTCTCCACCTCGTCGGCGGTGACCACCGCCTGTTCGATAAGATCAATCTTGTTCTGCACAATCACCGTGGGTATCTCGTTGCACTCGTTCTCCACCTTGCGCTTCCAGTCTTTGATGGCGTCAAAGGAGGCCCGATCTGTCGTCGAGAAGACCAGCACGGAGGCCTGGGCGCCCCGGTAGTAGGCCTTCGTGATGCAGTCAAACTCCTCCTGCCCAGCGGTGTCCCACAGCATGATGCGCACATCCTCGCCGTCGATCTCGATCTGGCGCTCCAGGAAGTCCACGCCAATCGTCTTCTTGTAGTCCTTGGTGAATATGCCCTTGCAGTAGCGCTGGATCATCGATGACTTTCCCACGCCGCCATTTCCCACAATGACCTGTTTGGAAAAAACAATCATTACAACTTACATTAAACATATAAAAGATTTAGAAACTTGGACTCGACATGCAGGGTTTTGTAAGATTCAATGTAATTATTTGCACTAAATGTAGACTTGACTTTGATCCTTTCTTTACTCAATTTTTCGTTATCGATCTTACAAAGATCATTATTCAAATACAAAATTGCCATTTCCATTTGGGTATAACACAAACAAATATTTATTCACCAGAAGACGATAAAATTAACTGTTCACAGTATTTTTTTTGCTTTCTATTGGACATTTAAAACGGCTAAGGTAATTAAGCGGGTAGATTTCAATCAAATTTGTCTTGTCTGTCGAAAGACACTATGTGAGAGACGTATGCGGTGTAGAAATCAATTCGAAACAATTCCAGAAACCCATTAGAAACAATTCCGCTCTGAGAGGAAAAAACCCTAATTGAACTAGAATCTTAATCCGTGCAGTTCCGCCATTAGCATCGGGCAAGGCACTCGCATTTGATCTCACAGGTGCCATTCTCAGCACAAGGAGATGGAAATGCACTTGGAAAGAAGTAATGATCTTATCATGATTATCATTTTCAAGCAATCTGATGTGTTACTTAGGGTAAATACCACAACTTAACTTAAAACATTTCGAATTCTTTTCGTTTTAGATATCAAAACAATATCACCAACATCACAAATGTTAATATTTAGAAGGTTTAAAAGTATTTTTCTAAGATTGTTGCATTTAAATATCTATTAAGATCGTATAAGAACATTAACTAACAAAATTCCAAGTTGCATAAAAAACGGGCTCATGAACAAATCGATTCCGACAGAAATTCTCGAAAGTAAAATTCCGAACAAGTCTGTTAGAAAATAGAGAACACATATCTATTCGATCCTTAGGTTGATAGCAAGCTGGTTTTTCTCCGTGCACGCATTTCAGCCATTCATCATCCGAATGGAAGAGATTCACATTCACGCAGCCGGCTGGGCAACTTACCACTTTAATGGCCAGCTCGATATCATCTTCACGCATGCTGGTGTAGTTGTACTGCGACTGGGAGTGGGTCTGCAGAACGGTCGCAGCAGCACCGCCGGTTGCCGATTGGATTAGACGCATCTAAGCCGGCAGGTGGGCCGCCGCTCGCCCAGGTGTGTGGCTGTGGCTCTGGCTCCAGCTCCAGGTCCAGCTCTCGGTTCAGCCTCAGCTTCAGCTTCAGCTCCAGCTCCTGGCCAGGCAAATCGGGTGGAGCACGCGATCTCGGGCAGCCAAATGCAGGTGTGTCCAAATGTACTTTTTGGTCAGCCAAGTTTTCCGCAGCTTTTCACTTTTCCCCAACTTTGCGTAAGTCTCGATTCACTTTCTACGCATTGATTTCACCAAATTCGAACTGTGGAAAAAGAAAAACCCACTCTTCAGCGACATCAGCCTTTAGATACATATAACAAATTAGACAGTCTAACTTCCCTAACTTGAACCAGCATCTGCCGAATGACAAAATTTGGTCTGGTAACTTATGAAACATTGAAATCATATGTGATAAAAGTCCTATCATTTTAAGATTGTTTTTTTTTTTTAAATAAAATGAATAGTTTTTGATAAGGAATTTTGATTTTTAGGATTCTTTGTGATGTTAGATACTTGAAGATTATTTCAGAACCAATCGAAAATCTAACATTGGGAATATCTGAGTTTTAATCATATTTGAAAACAATATTTGGAGAGTTCGAGTTAAGGAAGTTTGACTGTAAATACAAAAGGTTTTCTTTCATTTTCACATTAACCGGTTTTCAGCGCTGTTTTCTTCGTTTCTTTCGCTTGGGTCTGTTTTTGTTGCCTTTTTCTTATTTCCCTGACTGGCCCCGGGGCCACCGAATGCGGCTTCTAATAAGACGCAACCCGAACGCCCGGGCACGCACGGTTACGTTGTTCAACAACAGGTGCTTCTACACACCTTACGCACAGGTAACAGGTGGTGGTGAGAAGGGGGGGGGGGTTTCAGGTGGGAAGACAGGGGCCAGTGGATGGTGGTCACTGGATGGTAGATGGTGGATGGTGGATGGCGGTCACCGGCCAGTGGAAGCGAGATGGAGCATGCATGGCATTAGTATTCGCATTAGCGCGTGCTTATGAATTCTTTGAAAATTGTGCTCTTTCTTCTGGCCTTTCCCCTGTTTACAGTTGCTTTCTTCGGCTCCGTGGGCGGACGGCGTGGCAACGTGGTTTAAGAATAGATCTGGAGTGTTAATATATCTGACCAAACATGGGGAGATGCTAAAGCCACTTGTTTACATTGTGTGGCGCAGATGAGTTATTCGTTTTGTAGGCAAATTAGTTGGTTTCCAAGGTTCTCAAACAACATTTAAAGCTCTGCGTCCCAAAAAGAATAATAAAACTTCTATCAATTTGGGTTAGATACTAAATTTAACTGGTACGCCTCGGCCTCAAAAGAATATAAAAAAGCGGGTCCTAAAGGTATTCATTTTATTTGCTTGAATATTGATTAGCTAAGAATAATATGAAGTTATAAAATGTAGTTGGACACTAAGGCAGCTAAAAATTGGTGAATTTAAACAAAGATTTGACCAAGATGTAAGTTTTGATTGAAAGATTATTATTTTATAATAGAAAATCTTTTTGTTTCGTTAAATTCTAAAATTTAATCAATAATGCATTATTTTCAGTTCTAAAACTTTTATGAGCAAACCAAAAACAAGACGTCAAATATATACTCTATGCATATTTTGACACTATTTTTTAAAATTATTATTGGTGCTCTAATGAACTGCAAAATAATTAAACCAAAAATGTTTTATTTCAATTTGGATTTGTATAGCTTTCAATGACCTAAATATTGTGATCTTTCTCCAAGGTTACATTTTCAACAATTAATTAATTCCCAGCATGGTTTCTTGAGATCTTTCAAAGCAGTTGGCATTTCACATTAAGCGGACAGGTAACACAGGATTTGTGTTTTCCGTTTTCAATAGCTTGACGTTTTCTCATTTTTCTTTAACCAAAAATGAACCTTTAACCCACTGTGCAACCTTTCGCTCGTTCTAATTATGCCGCGACTCTTTTTCCCCAGCTTCTTCTAAAAGGTTCCCCATATTTTCGTTTTTTTTTGTAGTTCATTGTTATGATAATTAAGGCCACCGGTTATAGATTTAGTTCAATAGCCATCTGAGTACACTTAAAATAAAGAATTCATAACTTATGGATCAGGCTATCTCAAGGGATGGAAATTCTTGACTCGAAACTAAAGCAAAATCTTTGAACCTATAGTTTGGCTATACATAACATTAGAATAAAAATTTGTAACTAAGATTTAGATTAAACAAACAACTTAATCAAACACCCACATGTTATAATCAATTATTGTTGTTATTATTAAAAGCAAACTCTTAGAACATTCTTTATAGATTGAGTTATGGCAAGAGACTCCCAGTTTAAGCTCTTCATATTTTCTTTTCTGTGGGCTAAAAAACATCTAAGATTGACATAGAATCCAGGTGAGCGTGTGTGAGTGTGTAGAACTATTTGTTGTTGCGCACAAGTTGCAGAACGAATTGCGAGTAAAGCACCGCACATCAATTTCCACAGTTGCACTGCAATTATTTTGAAATTTGCCCAAGGAACTAATAGATCGGCGGCCGTTTCTTGGCCATTGTTGTGGAATGTGGATTCTAACTTGTCCATTTAAGTTCACAGCACCACCACACCTGCACGGGCCACATGCACTGGTGCACACACCTACACGCCTGCACTTGTTGCTGCTGGCATCGCAGAGGAAAAGCGGATTTTCCGAGTTACGGTGCAGTGTGTGTGGGGAAAATTATGCAAATGCCGAGCGCTACTTAAATCAATTAAGAGCGCGAATTCCTCATTATTTAAATTATGCTTAAACAGTCACTCGCGCACTAACGGTACCCCGCACAGTGTCGCCTTCTGCTTCGTTTTTATGTTTGCCATATTTTTTTCATAGCTCTTTTACGACCCTTTCTCACTAGACTCAAAAATCAAGCCAGCCGATTGTGTTTTCTGGGTGAGAAATGAACGAACAGAAGTTGCGAGTGCGAAAACGCGAAGCTCGCATTCGAATCCCAGCTCAAACTCACACAGCCCGAGCTGCAGAAATCGTAAACACGTTCGCAGCGGCTCTTCAACATGGCCAAAACAACTAAGGCGGCCGGAGCAGCTAAAATGTGGCTAAAACAACGACGACAACGCGTGCGAAGCGCCTTAATTAAAGACGAGCGACGCCTGGGATCCCGATCTCGAGTCGCAGTTGACCCGCAGTGAAAGTCTAGTCGCGCACACGGTTCATCTATGGTTTTTGCCCCTGGCGATTTCTTAGGGCGCCAAGAGGGAGAGACCCGAATTGAAAACGGGGACGGGAACGGGAACTTGAAAGCGCACCTGTAGCTCGTCGCGTTCGGAATTTGAATGCCAAGCCTGGCTTACGAGCAGTGTGACCGTGGCCAGCAGGTGGCAGTATTCTCTGGGATCTTCGGGCAGGTGGTCACACCTGACGCTTACTTTTATTTATTATCAAAAAGAATGTATTTAATAGAGGTTGACAATTGGTCACTAATGTCACTTAAAAACGTTGTAACAAATAGTAAACAAATTATGAAAAATGTCACAAGCCATGATATTTTATATTAACGCCAACATTTTTAAAATTATTATAATTTATCAGAAGGTAAGAATTTATAGACATTTTAGTGTAATTTTGTTTTTTCTTAGAACCTGTTTTTAGTTTTTCATATTATAACTAATAAATATTATTACAATAATAAATATTATTTTTATTTGTGTTGTCCAATCTTTAGAAGTACATTGATACATTTAATTTTTTATTAAAATATCTTACAATATCTTTGTAGCGCTATTTTCCAAGTACTTTTTATTCTGTTAATTTCGTTATTAAAAAAAAATATATTTTTCTTCTTAAGTGGATTGTATTTACTTATTAAATATTAATTATTACTGAAAAATTACCAGTAACTGTTAAATTCAAATTTTGAAAACGTAGCGGTTTTGGAACCTGAACCCATCGCTTTGCAGCACTGCTTCGCTGTGAATGGCAGTCGCCGAAGAAGAAGCGCAGCGCATCAGCTGTTCGGCGAATCGGAACGACAAGACGCGCATTTGTTTGACTTTTGACTACGGGTTTTGGGAAACACAAATTAACTCGAATTCCCGTGAGGATGAGTTAACCTTCTGCCGAAAAACGACAAAGGAAACAGTGCCTTCGCTTTTGTTTACAACCCGTTTCGCAGGCAGGCACGCGCCTGCGCAGCAATCGCAAGTTATCGGGCGCCAGGACGAAGGACGAGACATAGAGAAATGCTGGGCCATCGCGAATTTGGAGCCGCGACAGGAACTCGCCTTTCAGTGCTCAGCGGAATTCGGTGGCATTTCAACGTGTTTTCGGTTGCACATATCCCAAAAACAGTATTTATTATTGCAAATCGCTGCCCAACATCCGTGTGTTAGTGCTCCGGCGAGCGTGTGTGAGTGTGTGTGTGGCGAGGGGCGGCGAAAAGGTAGTGGAAACCTTAGAAAGTAGAAAGTAAAAAGTGCAAAGTTTGTGCAAAAGTAAATTCCGACATTGGGGTGACTGCCGTCTCTTTTTTTCTCATTCTGTCTGGTGGTGGCTCGTCCTCTTCCTCCTCCTTTTCCATCCCCCTGGGCCCCCCTCCCGAACCATCCTAATGCCAAGAAAAAAAAATACAGTGCGCGCTTGATTGAGTGGATAAAATAATCCAAGGGTGTTTACTACAAAGAAACGTCCGATATATGCTTGCAGTTGCCTGTAAATCCTAGTTTATTTTAACACAAATTTATACTTTTAATGTACCTAAAATAAATTCTAGAATTGTATTCAATATACAAATTTTTTCTAAATTAAAAAAATCCAACTTTGGTATGTGTAACGATAGTAGTTTGGCCGATAAGATAAGGATCTTAAAATACTTATCAAGAATACGAAATTATTTCAAAGAATTTTGGGAATATAAAATTGTATGGGTAATTTTTCCTTAGATTGGTACCGGTTACTTTAGTTTTTAATATAAAGTATATTCTTTTTCAAGAACACTCTATCTACTTCCCCCTTCTAAAAGTTCACCCCACAGAGCGCGCACTGTACATGCGAATGTGTGAGCCATGTGTGAAAAACAAAGACGGCAAGGGCTGCGAATAAAAATCAATATTGATAGTAACTTCTTGGATGCTCTTCGAGACCTTCCCGCAGGAAGCGCAGTCAGGTGGTCATTGTCCGCTTCAGCCCCCGTTTCCCTTTTCCGCACCAACCACCCACATTTTCCGCCCCTGGGGGTGACTCATTCAGCTCACGAACTCCGAATTCCATCAGCTACTCCCTTTTCACTGGGAATGTGAAAACGCGGTCGCCCTCGCCGCATGTTCATTAAATATTGATTTCGATTCTGCACTACAGCACGCTACAGAAAAAACATACACAACGATTAAAAAGCAATTTGCAAAGCGGCAAATAAAATGCAAAGTAAATAAATGGCCCGCAACTCAATTTGGCCTGCAATTTTAACAGTTTATCGTACGCCGAAAGTACACACCAATAAATAAAATCGAAAATCAAAAGCAACTTTAAAACAAAGTGAACATGAAAACGCGCCTCGTCTCGCTGACTTATCGCGGCAGTGCGTCCGTCGATCCGCGCTACTCCGCCTCCATGTTGCCATGGACCATCAACGATATCAGGTCCACGGAGAGCTACACGAAGGTAAATGTTTTGAGGGGCCAACTCACTTAAATTGATATAAGATGGGATCTAGTTAGTTATAAGCTATTGTATTGTATTCAACTATAAACTGTAACACTTCAGGGTTTAATAACTTACAATGCTTAACAAAAAGTACCATTCAATAATAATTTCGATTTTATATTAAACACTCAAACTATTATAGAATCGAGAAAGAACGATATACTTTTTAACAAATTTACTTAGACATATTTCTTTCATGAATATCGTAATGTTTATCTTATTTAAAAGATATAAGGGAAACATAATTTCCTTGATCTTAGCAATTAGGAACTGCTGCATTATTACTTTAATTACCCAGTTCTATTAAAATAGATAAGCCAGTAAATATTTAATTATTTCTTTAGTAAGAAGTGTTCATAATATGAATCACAATATATACGATGCGTTGCTAGTGGCCAGTTAGAAACTTGGACTCCAAGACATCCATTTGATTAATATGCACAAAAGTACAATGCTATCCATCAAAGATATTGAATTGGATTTGATTTTAAATCCCTCCCGACCGCCGCCCACGCCAAACACGATTCTTGTTAATCGAATCAAACTCGGAATGCAGTACCGGATCGCACATGACAGGTCTTCTCCTCACACTTTGTGCGCCTTTGGCGAAAACAATTAAAAGCAATTTGCCATTATTACGGATGGGTAAATCAATTATGTGCCAAGTGAGATGCTGGCAAAATAGCGAACGAAATTTAATTAATAAGTTTGTGCTCCATAAAGGATAATTACTGCGATTAGTGACCCATCGGCAGCCGTTCATCGGGTGCTACGGCCCTATAAATAGAACCCAGATAGGCGATGACGAACGCCGGAGAAATGGAACAACTGTGAGGCCTAAAACAAATCGAGGGGCACCCCCGTCACCAGGTGAAACCCAAAGAGATTACGCATACGCCGCGTTGAACACGTGCGACAACAAGTTGCCCACCCTCTCCGCGTGATTTTGCCGGCCCCTTTGGGTAATATTATTAGAAGCTGGGAAATTAATTTTAGCAAAGCCCGCAATTAGCCAGTCATCAGCGCTCTGCGTGGGTTTGAGTGTGTTGAGGGTTATTCGTCCTTTCCGAGGGTTATCCCTTGGACAATCTGTCGCGAGCATTTAAGGAAGGCAGGAAGGATCGGAAAGAAAGTTTACATTGTGGCGTTAGCAAAGTTGGCTTGGTTTGGAAATGTGTTGAAAAAAGTTGAAAACAATAGTAAAGTTTAAAAAACCTATTTCAACATTTTTTAAAAAGTAAATACTGTTCTTGTTTTTAATATTTTAAGACTTTTGCTATCGTCTTTAAAATTAATTATCACTAGAAATGTTTTTAGGTAATATTTTCCATTAGTATCTCCTTGAATTTTAATTATGATTCGGCATTACCTTGCACAGTGTGAAATCTGAAACCTAAGCAAACACTTTTTGGGGCAAGGAACACCTTTTATTTTCCCATTTTGGTTTCGCTTGCGTGTGTGTCCTCTTTTGGTTGGAGCATACAGCTCAGATGCCCGTTGTCGCATTAAAACGAATCCTTTCTACGTGCCTGCTACCATGCCCCAAAGGATCTGTGGGGAATCACACCTGCCTCTGGCAATTGTTGTTGATGCTCATTGAATGTACCTCGAGGGCTCGACTGCCCTCAAGAACCTTTCGCAATCACTTCAACAACGAAATTCTCGGCTTTAATCTGGCCAGAGAGTTTTGTATACTTAGTTAAGCATGGATTTTCTGAAATTCAAAAGGGAATAGCCTTGGCGTACTCATACTTGTATGTTATTACTTGAAATACTTAAGGGAAACATTAAGGAGTTTAGGCAAATCTTTGATAACCAGGTCTCTTTTGGATTACGTCAAATATTTATTTAGTTGTTGGGGAAACCATAATTTATTTTGGTACTGGCGGTTTGGCCAAAAGCTATGGATTATTTATGTAGTAAGGTAATCCATCTTTTTATATGGTTGTAGCAAGTATAGTAAGTGATTTTCAGACCATCTCTTCAACTATCTTTATAAAAAATAGAACTTTTTAAAAACTGTTGTTTATTGGTTGATTTAAATATCATGTATTTGTAAATATGGTTTTATCCATACCAAGCCATTACTTAGATCTTTAGTTCTAGAAATCAAAAATAAGAAGAATGTAATTAATTTCAATAATTCAACAAGAATTACGATTTTAAAGTGTGATTACTATCAGTCATTGTCTCTAAGGTATTCTAATATGGTTTATAGCTAAGTACTTATAAGGTCTTGTTCTCTGGCTTGGTAACTGGAGAATCGAGCATTTAGAATGGGCCAAAAATAATATTACCAAAATGGTTTTTAATCATGGTTCCCAGAAGCGGAATCCAAATCGATAGTACGTCATCAAGTTGTGCGTTAGCCTCCGCGGCATGCTCACTTTCTGCCCTCGGCGCATATCAGTTTCACAAACCATTAGTTCAAGCCCTGTGACATTTCATCCGCGCTCTTGTAATCCACTTAGCATCCGTACTCCACCAGGCAGCCGCTGCTCGTGGCTCGTTGGAAGCACCGGAACAGACCGTAATTCGCTTCATATTTTCTTATTTAAATATTTACTTAAGCCAGCACACTTGTTTATTATAGTTGTTAGTTTTGCCTCTCTTTTTTTGCATTTAAGTTGACACAAAACAAACACGCACCCGGAGCGAAAGAGACAGAGGCGAGTGGCATAAATAAAAT